TTGAGCACTTTTTCATGTGTCTGTTGGCCATTTGGATGTCTTCTTTGGAAAAATGTCTGTTCATGTCTTCTGCCCATTTCTTGATTGGCTCATTTGTTCTTTGGGTGTTGAGTTTAAGAAGTTCTTTATAGATTTTGGATACTAGCCCTTTATCTGATGTCATTTGCAAATATCTTTTCCCATTCTGTCGGTTGTCTTGTGGTTTTGTTGACTGTTTCTTTTGCTGTGCAAAAGCTTTTTATCTTGATGAGGTCCCAATAGTTCTTTTTTGCCCTTGCTTCCCTTGCCTTTGGCAAAGTTTCTAGGAAGAAGTTGCTGCGGCTGAGGTCGAAGAGGTTGCTGCCTGTGTTCTCCTTTAGGATGTTGATGGACTCCTATCTCACATTTACGTCTTTCAACCATTTTGAGTCTATTCTGTGTGTGGTGTAGGGAGATGGTCCAGTTTATTAAAGACTCTTGAGCTAAGAAGTATTATAATCAGTGCTGTGTATTCAAAAACTCCTGACAGCAGTGTTCAGGATAGATTGGAAGAAGGTGGGAACAGTAAAAAAGCTATTGCCTTAGGGCACCTGGCTGGCTCCCCAAGTTGGTAGAGCATGTGACTCTTGATTTTAGGGTCTTGAGTTCAAGCCCCATGGTGAAGCCTATTTAAAAAAAGAAGAAGCTGCAGCAGCAGCTGTTGCCTTAATACTTATAAAATACAGGGATCTAGGGGCTCCTGGGTGGCTCAGTCGTTTAGCATCTGCCTTCAGCTCAGGTCATGATCCCAGGGTCCTGGGATCGGGCCCCGCATTCGGGCTCCCTGCTCTGCGGGAAGCCTGCTTCTCCCTCTCCCACTCCCCTGCTTGTGTTCCCTCTCTCACTGTGTCTCTCTCTGTCAAATAAATAAAAATAAATCTTTAAAAAAAAAATCATGATCCCAGGGTCCTGGGATGGAGTCCCACATCGGGCTCCTTGCTCAGTAGGGAGCCTGCTTCTCTCTCTGCCAACCGCTCCCGCTGCTTGTACTTTCTCTCTCTCTCTAATAAATAAATAAAATCTTTTAAAAAATTTAAAAAAAAAATACAGGCATCTGAACCATAGAGTGACAGTGCTGATCATGAGAAAAAGACAGATACCAGAATTATTTATGAATCAAATTCAACAGAACCTAGTGATTAATTAAATGTGGGTTTAAGGGAGAGAGAATATCCAAAATGTCTTCCAGGGTTTTGACTTTAACAATAAGGTAAATAATGGAATAAGAGCAGTTTTTAAGAGAAAAATGATAAGTTTGGCTAGAGCATGTTGAATCGGAAGTGCTTGTGGGGGGCTAGAGCACGTTCAATCTCAAGTACTTGTTGGGGGGCTAGAGCACGTTCAATCTGAAGTGCTTGTGGGGGCATCAAGATAGAAATAACAAGTAAGGGGCGCCTGGGTGGCTCAGTCATTAAGCATCTGCCTTTGGCTCAGGTCATGATCCCAGGGTACTGGGATCGAGCCCCGCATCGGGCTCCCTGCTCAGCAGGAGGCCTGCTTCTCCCTCTCCCACTCCCCCTGCTTGTGTTCCCTCTCTCGTTGTCTCTCTCTTCCTCTGTCAAAATAAA